CACTTCATATTTTTTCTTATTGGGCGTTTTCTGCTTCTTCTTCTTTTGGTTCAGCGCTGGATTCTTGTTCCTTTGCTAGCGCAGCTCCTTCTTCTGAACCACTTTTCTTCAACGAAGTTGTCTTGGTGAGATGATTGTAGCAACCCTTCTGCTTAAACAATTGAGAGAAGTGGGGCTTGCAATAGAGAATCCCATCTAGAGCAGCATAAGATGAGGGGTTAAGAAAGCAGCCTCCGTGAGCGCACCTGAAGCATGATTTGTGGTAAAATTCTCCTTCCACCGTCACCTGTAACAATTTTCTTCCTTTTCTAAGGTCATTCAGAATTTTAAATTAAGGGTCGCAATTAATTGTTAATTTTTCCCATCAGCTTATATTTCAATTTTTAGGTGAATAGTTATAAAATTTCATTTTATACAAGTTGATTTAGATTTTTGCTAGGTGCATTACATAAATATATTTTTAGAGCTTACTACAAGATGTTGGCATGCATTTAAACCTGTTAGTGGGAATAAAACATTAGTATTACGGAGCTTAAGGTCGTGCAATTGCAGTTTGGAAGTAGCCTAAGCAATTCACAATTTCTCAGTCTGTGAACATCTATGTACCTTTTCCAAAGGATAAACTGTTTTCTTGCAGACGTTGCATTTTTCTTGGGTACCAGAGAACAAAGTTGATACTTTACTTGGAGCCCTGCTCTACAGATCACAAAATTAGGCATAAGATATGATTACAAAGATACCTAGCACCATCGATTTCCACGGAGGAAAAAGTAAACCAAAAACAAAAAGAAAGAAACGTAAGAAGGAAATGAAAAGCATGGCTAGGATTAGTTACCAGTCCATTTGGCTTCCCCGCTAACCATGCATGATAAAACAACCAATTAGGAAAAAGTAGAGAGATTAGAAAACTAAATAAATGACAATTCCCCTGGAAAGTCCCAACCATTAGATGTATAGAAGTAAGAATAAAGGACGAAAAAAGAAATAGAAAAGAACCCACAGGTTGCAAGTTTGTTAGCAAACCCTCCGTTCTCCCGAAGGAGCTGCTCGAAATGAGGCTTGCAATACAAGGATCCATCCAGTGGGGATTTAGAATAGTTGCTCATCTGCATATCAGATCATGATAGCTAGCTTGATCAATAAATCTAGTCAATTCTCATGCAATGATGCAATAGTAATTATTTGCAATAGTTGATCATTATACGAGATCTTTCAAATCCCTGATAAATAAATTGAAAGCCAAAAATTTTCATATTGAACAATATGCTACCGTGAGTCGTCCATTGCAATGGGTGCATCTAAAGCAAGTATTATGATAAGGAACTCCATCAGCTGACATCATCTCCGCAAAATGAACAGTCTTATCACAGGCCTTACATTTCTGCTGCGTGCCGCTGAAAGACGACATTTTGTTTACCTGAAATTCACTTTAATTCGGCACTCAGCAACATATGAGGAGCCTGGGGCTCTTGGTATAAAAGAAAATGATCTGCTTGAAAGATGATGATGAGGAGAAGAAAAGACGAGGAACAACCTCTTTATTGTATATTCTTGAATATGTGAAAGGAAATTAAAAAACGAGAAAATTGGAAAATGTGTTCAAGTTAATGGACAAAATGGAAGTTGACATGTTCAGAATCAGTGGTGAAAGTTATCACGACCCTTAAAATGAGGGATGAGGGGCACTGGACCAGCGAAGGAAGTGCCAATTTTCATTGCGCTCGGAACAGCTGGAAATGTTGTGTCCTAATAATGGCAAAAATCTAACTGAATGGATGAAGAAGGTTTACCGCCTATGAGGCTTGGATGCACCACCTTTCCAGCTGGTGAGTTTAGAGAATTTTTTTTTTTCTAACCAGTTTTGGAGTGCATAACGCATATATATATCTACGCATGTTCATGAACATTATACTTCTCACATCTATATGCCCGAGTTTTAAAGCAGAAATGAAAAAATATTCAATTCCATAGAATGGGTGCAACAATCCATTTCCGCATGAACAAAGTTTCCGTTTCTAATAACGAATTTTGTTTATATAACAACTTTAATTAAACTAAGAAAAGTTACTCTTTACGTACAATAGAAGAATAATACAATTTTGTTAAGAAAGATAAAAGTCGTAAGAAAAGACAGGAAAAAAGTGATTAGGAAAAATTTTGATACGAAAATAGATAAATCCCAAATATTCAAATAAGACTATGGATTCTGCATGGGAGAAAAACTAATTAATTGAATTTGGTACTTTCGTACATATAGATTTCATCCAACTTTTAGAGTTTTCTCGAACAATTATTTGTCTCCAGAGTCTTAGACAAGATAATCCAACACGTACGTGTAATGATTAAATTGATGAGAAAATTTTTATAATCGTGATGAAACTTAAAATATTTACACAAAGGGTGAAATTTCGGTGCATGCCTTTTTACTTCTACGAAAGGGAGGATCGTAAAACCAGCCAAACGTACTATTAGGTCCAAATGTGCAAACCAGCACAAATATTAGACTTCAAAATACAAATAACAAGAAGTTGATTGAGCAAGCTCGCCGGCATCGTTAGGATCCTTTTGGACTGTGAGTTTCGTGTAAAAATTATGAGAATATTCTTTAATATATTTTTTTAACCACCTCTTTATCTCAGATAATATATATCACTGAATTAAAATTTAGATAGTTTTACTTTGGTTTAGTAGGGTCTTGCTTCAAAAATACAAAAAAAAAACCTTATTCAAATATAAACATTATTGAAAAGCAGACAAAATAACTCATTCAAAATTGGCAAAAATTTTAATGGTCTAAACTAAATCAAAATTTAGACATTACAACAATAAATTTGCCTATTTATCACGCTAGATCTGAGTTGATAGGAGGGGCAATAAGAGAGAACAGAAACAAGAGAGAGATAGTAGAGAGAGGAAAGAGCAGAATTTTGTGCACAAATTGAATATTCTCAGATGATTATTTGAGTACAGAAAGTTATTATTTGTACAAGATATCTGCTCTACATTTCTTTCCTTCATGCTGCTCGAGAATAGATCGACAAAATCTTGCCAAGGTACAACTCAAATTTGACATATTGTCTGGACATGATGGCATATATATTTTACTGTGAGTTACTCAATATTGCTGTTGAAAATATTCAGTGAAAAGAGGTTATTTTTTAATGAAATAGTTGAAATCATCATCAGCTTTCTTCTTGGCTAGTCAAAGCATTAAGAAACACTTGTGGATACTTGCAGGCACAGGTTACTTGTTGTAGGTTAAGCCGAGAATGAAGGGAGATTACATGTACAAGAGCATGCTTTGATCATTTGATCAGGATTTTGAAGAATGATGTGAGTCCATTTTATTGACTTCTGTATTCTGATTGTTCAAAGAACCTATTTTAATGCAGCTGTTGTCTTAAAGATAATTTTGGACCATACATTGTCTTTGCCTTTTTGGATCTTCTTTTTCTCCACTAACCACTAGGCACAGGCCATGAAGTCATCCCAGTTAAAGAAGAATTTCCACTTCTAAGTAAACAATGGAACATCTGCTATGCAAAACCTGTCTTCATATTTTTTTTAAGTTGTCGTGGCATCTTGTTTTCTTCACCTCACTCCGTATTCCGATATGTTTATTCCTTTGTGCTTGATGCACAATAAGCTTTGAACTTGATTGCAGGGAACCCTCTCTTCTGCTGAAGGCCTCATCCCCAATTTTGGATGGCTGGGATGGGGGAACATGATCATGTTTCTGACTTTAGAGCAGGTAAGGTGGAGTTCACATTTCAGCTTCTTGATTCTTGTTAGTTCCATGTAATTTGGATTTTAGATTTTGATTTCTTATGGTGTTGCCTATCTGTACTGGTGCACATTCCTGGGTTCTGGTTTGCTTTTACTTTAAGCCTATCCTTCAATGGACACTTCGTTTTGGGAGTGATAATTGAGCATCTGTGTTATTTAATCACTCGACACTTGCTATGTGATTAATTGAGTTTGAGTATTACTACTCTCTACGAAGAATAGGGAGACAAAAACCCTTTCAGATTCTTTTAGAGTTTGTTGTTATATATTTTTCTCCAGGTTGTAAACAAGTGGTTTGCACTTCAAGCTGCATCAGATATTCCTGGGAATGTTGCAAATGTTAAGAAGCTTCTAAAACATCCTGCCTTTGATTTACGCAATCCAAACAAGGTTCATTACACTTTATGTCTAGTTTCAGTTGGTAGATTCCCATCATTTTAGTGCTCAGTCTTGATATATTCTGCAGGCTTATTCATTAATTGAAGGATTCTGTGGATCGCATGTCAACTTTCATACAAAAGATGGATCAGGCTACAAATTCCTGGGAGAAATTGTAGTGCAGCTTGACAAATTGAACCCTCAGGTTTATTCAAGAACTTTCTTCAAATCTAATACTATTGTGAATTTGGTCATTTTAATGTCATACAAATAATTCCTCTTGAATTGCAGGTAGCTTCTTCAATGGTGTCAGCCTTCTCTAGGTGAAAGCGTTTTAATGAAACTCGACAAAATCTTGCCAAGGTAACAACTCAAATTTGACATTTTGTCTAGACATGATGGCATATATATTTTACTGTGGGTTACTCAATATTGCTCTTGAAAATATTCTGTGAAAAGAGGTTACTTATTTATGAAATAGTTGAAATCATCATCAACTGTCTTCTTGGCTAGTCAAAGCATTTAGAAACACTTGTAGATACTTGCAGGCACACGATACTTGTTGCACGTTAAGCCTAGAATGGAGGGAGATTCCATGTACAAGAGCATGCTCTGATTGTTTGATCAGGATTTTGAAGAATCATGTGAGTTCATTTTCTCAACTTCTGTATTCTGATTGTTCAAAGAACCTATTTTAATGCGGCTGTTGTCTTAAAGATAATTTTGGACCATACATTGTCTTTGCCTTTTTGGATCCTCTTTTTTTCCCAGTAACCACTAGGCATAGGCCATGAAGTCATCCCAGTTAAAGAAGAATTTCCACTTTTAAGTAAACAATGGGCAACCATTGTCTGACTGGATTAAAGATTGCCAAAGCCAGTCCTGCTATTTTCCACTTGTTTTTTGCAGATGACACCCTTATCTTCTGTAGAGCCAGCATTAAGGAGTCTGAACAAGTGAAGAGGATCTTGGAGTTGTATGAAGCAGCATCAGGACAATAGATTAACACAGATAAGTCATCTGTGTTCTTCAGCAAAAACACTGAGGAAAGCAATAAGGCAGAGATCCTCAGAATATTGGGGGGAATGAAGCAGGTGGACCAGAGTAAGTATCTTGGGCTACCAATGGTGATTGGCAGATCTAAAAGACAAGTCTTCAATTATATCAAGGAAAGAGTGATGGGGAAGATCAAAGGGTGGAAAGAAAAGCTGTTGAGCAAAGCTGGGAAGGAAGTGCTGCTAAAGTCTGTGATACTAGCAATGCCTGCCTATGCTATGAGTTGCTGCAGGCTGCCTAAGAGCTTATGTCAGGACATAAGTGGAGAAATGGCTCGCTTTTGGTGGGGGGAGAGTGAGGGGAAGAGAAAGACTCATTGGGTGGGGTGGGGAAAGTTGGCTGAAATAAAAGGGAAAGGAGGCTTAGGCTTTAGGGACTTGCTGGATTTTAATAATGCCATGCTGGCTAAGATGTTATGGAGAATTCTGACACAACCCAATCTGTTATTAAGCAAGGTGTTAAAGGGGAAATACTTCAAAGGGGAAGCAATTTGGAAGACACAGATAAAGGCAGGGGACTCTTGGATATGGAAGAGCATTATGAGTGCAAGGGAGGTGATGGAAAGAGGTATTAGGAAGAGAGTTGGAGATGGCACAACTGTGGATATCTGGAAAGATAGGTGGATTCCAGGTGAAGGTACGGGTATGGTGGCCACTCCAATGCCTGCAGGCTGTAATATCCTAAAGGTACATGAACTAATTCAGAACGGAAAGTGGAACAGAGCAATGATGGAAACTCTACTTAGTGAGAAAGACTGCAGAAAGATAGAAGAAATTCCAATTAGCTTATGTGCAGGGAAGGATAAGTTGGTGTGGCCATTTACAAAATCTGGGCAGTATTCTGTCAAAACAGGATATATACTGGCCAGAGAAATGAGAGGGGAATGGAGAAGGAAGGAATAATATGAGGCTAGTAATAGCAGGAATGAACCTAATTCTAAAGCCTGGAAGGTGCTGTGGGGTTTAGGTATTAAACATAAACTAAAACATTTTATATGGAGATGTTTACATGGTGTATTACCAGTCAATGAGGTGATCAAAAGGAGAATAGGTAGTGGGGAGGATAAATGCAGGTGCTGTGGGAAGGGGACAGAAACCTTGAAGCATATGTTCTTCTTTTGTAGGCATGCTGAAAATATATGGAAGGCAGCTCCAATTGATTGGGATGGGCTTAAAGAGTTTAGGCATAGTTTTTGGCATTGGTGGAATAGCTTGATGGATGCACAAGACAGAATAGAAAGGAGGAACCACATTGCTTTGATTGTGAATATACTTTGGCAGATATGGAAATCAAGGAACCAAGTACAGTTCAATGAGATGAGCAACTGCCCAGGGAGAACAGCAGGTAAAGCTGTGCAGGAGTGGGCTGAATATAATGAGGTGAGGAATAGGGCTGATAATAAGGAGGTAATGGAGAAAGAACAGGGGGCAGGGATTAGCAGATAGTATCCACCCCCTCAGGGCTTTATAAAACTAAACACTGATGCAGCCTTGGTGTTGAAGGATAGGAGGATTGGGTGGGGAGTAGTGGCTAGAAGGGAGGATGGGGAGATTGTAGGGGCTTGGGCAGGGGGGGAGAGCAGAAATGGTATCCCAACAGTTGAGGAGGCCTTAGCTATCAGAAAAGCTGTGATAAAGGCTAAACTATGTGGCTGGAACAAAGTAGAGATACAATCTGATTGTAAATTGCTGGTGGACAAGCTCAGGGGGAGGGATATGGATGATCCAGTCACGGGGACTATTTTACATGATGTTCTGATTTTAAGCCAAGGTTTTGTTACGTGTCAGTTCTCTTTTGTTAAAAGAGGGGGCAATTGTGTGGCTCATAAGCTGGCAAAATTTGCCATAAACTTGTATGATGAAATTAGTTGGAAGGATTCCTTTCCAATTTGGCTTAATTGTTTAGCCAAAAATGATGTAGGAGCAGTTGCTCCAACAATGTAATTTCTACATAGCAATAAATCTGTTATCGTTTGGAAAAAAAGAGAGTAAACAATGGAACATCTGCTATGCAAAACCTACCTTCATATTGCTTTAAGTTGTCATGGCATCTTGTTTTCTTCACCTCACCCTTCATTAACCCATAAATTCGATAAGAGGAACGATGGAAAAATAAAAAATCTAAGGAAAGAACTTGATCTTCAATTCCGAGACATACCTTTGTTTGGAAAAAATGTAAAAGGTTTAGTTCTCCTTTGCCCAATGTTGATGGGCAACAAGATCCCCTATACTTTTAAACTTGTTATAACATATATCGCAACTGAACTTCAGGTGGCCATGAACAGAAATATTGTGCTTCAACACTATATCACGACTCGAAAATGTGCATTCACAGTCGGAATGGTAACACCACCACTGAACTCCGGGTGGCGGAGCTCAGGGTTCTTATTCTTTTTTTGGCATATTTAAACCTAAAAAAGAAACGTATAAGAACGACAAATTAGAAATTAAAAAAATAAAATCAAAATAATAGCAAAAGAAAAGGAAAAATAATCCGAAGCTGCATGTTTTGTCATCACAACTATCACAAAAAACAAAAACACTGAGTTCTAAGCAGCGATAGAAATTCCAAAGAAATTGTAAAGAAAGAAGAAATGGGTGTTCCAAGAGACGGAAAGAAGAAGCAAAATTCGCAGGGACCCCAAGAAAGCCTACTGGTCCTTAAACCCTACAAAACTACGACGAAGAGACAGAAGCAAGAACGCAAGAAAAAAAAGAAGAAGAAGAAGGAAAAGAAAAAAAACGAACTTCTCCCAAATTATCCCTGCAACATCGATCATAAAAATGGATCAGCCATAAACTTAACTGCTAAATCAAGAACCAAACCAAAAGAAATCAACCTTAACCATATCAGGAGGTGCTCCTCAAGCTGAAAAGCTTCCTTGAATTTCGTAAGACAGGTTGGGCACTGGAAGACCCAAATCAAAAAGTGCAAATGAAAATTTTTGATTAATTTTAATTTATTTTTAACCATTAGATATAGTAATGTTTTTGTTAGTTATATTAAATATGCCTAAAATCAAAATTTTAAAGTCTACATTTGCTTTGATTAAAATACAGAAGACCAATTAATTTAGTACATAGACATTTGGTTTGAGTATACTTTTTTTTATTATGACATTGTACTAAAATTTATATGTGTGGTCAGCTAATTTGTAGCTTTGTCTATATTACACATTGCAGGTAACTTTTTTAATATGAGAATTGTTGACCCATTGATTGTAATTGATGTTCTTATTATGAACGAACGTTTTTAATTTGATATCCTACATTTTCAATTTTAGAAGAATTAGCTGCGAGATTTTTTAATTATTTTAAATGGAGTTACTTTAGTTTGATGAAGAATTCAATAAAATTAGTTAATGGGTATGGGTAATAGTTAATCCAAACAGCTGGATATGGCAATAAGATTAAATCCCTCGAATCATCTATTAAGGTCTAGTGAGACACTCGTATAAATAAACAAATACTGGTTCCATAAGAGTGATGTTTACTGCAAAAATCATGACATATTTGAGGAATAGATACAAAGTATAATAATTTCTAAAATTACAGAGATGGACTATCATTTAATTTACATATGACCATATGCTGTTCAAAATAGGATTTTCCTATTTACCATAGATGGACGGTGGTAGTAGAAAGAAGAATCCCAATAGTTGAAGTTGGTGAAAGTGAAGAAAGATAAAGCGATAAAATTATAATTAAGTCGTACTTCCGTAAGCATTCACTCATACAAAATATGTTGAATGTAACTATTCTAGATTGTTTCGGGGCATCTCTTCTCTAGTAGTAGATGGTCGATCTCGATCTTTGTTTAATGATCTTATACTTTCTTAGGCCTTGAATGGACTGCTGCAAGAATCAGTTTTGAACTTGTCTCAAGCATTGACTATTCTCCAAATCAATTGTTTCAAGCAAGTTTTTTTCTTTCATTTTCTTTGTTTCTTCTATTATAACTTATTGATTATTTAAACTATTGATTATTTAACTTATTACTTATTGATTATTTAAACTATTCTTTGTTTCTTCTATTTTAACTTATTGATTATTTAACTTATTGAAGCATCATTTTTTTGTCTGTTGTTTTTTTCCTCTTTTTGTGAAAACGGCTCTGTTTGGATGGGAGTGTTTTTCAAAAATTAGTTTTTCAAATACAATAAAAAATTTTAAAAAGTACTCTAAAATATAATCTAAAAATTAGTTTAAATTTTTTTAAAATTTTAAAAAATATCTCAAAATATATTCTAGAAACTCTTCTACTCTTAAATATCCCAAAATATTTTCAAAAATTATCCTAAAATAAAATCTAAAAACTCTGCTACAGTAAATTTTTTTAAAAATACCCCCAAAAATAGCTAATCCAAACGGAGCACAGTTAAAATTTTGTAATGGTTGTTATTTTTCCATTATTTTTATTCATATCTGAATGTTCACCTTGAAACCAAAATTTTACAGTTTCTTTGGATTGTAATTTTTCAAGAATGTGTGGGAGAAAAAAGTTACTGTAACATTTTTTTAAAATGTAAAATATATGAAGTAAAAATGGTAATTAGATAATGTGTAAATAGAACATTCACATAAAATATATAAATTTTTTAACTAAATGCTACAATCCAAATAGGGCCTTGGTTTTGTTCCTATCCTCATACAAGTAATTTTACTATTTAGGGAGTTTTCTCAATGTTCACTTTTTAAACCTAAATTTTGTTTGGATTTGAGTGTTTTTCAAAAATAAAAGTTTCAAATACAATGTCATAATAACAACTCTAAAAACTTCATCCTACCTTTCACATTTCAGTCCTCAAGAAGAATGTTGGCAATTGGCCGATCTATGCAACTCTTCCCAATGAGGTGAATTGTATATATGTCAGTTACTCGCCGAACCTCTAGCAATATTGCATCGCAGGATTGTTAAAAAGGGTAATAAGGCTGTCCCCCAGTGGTTAATACAATGGACCAATTCATTTCCTAAAGATGCTACGTTTGAATATTCGTTTGCATCCGGCAAAAATTTTTTCACTTCAGTTCTTGAGGGCAAGGATATTTTCAAGAGGGTGCATTTGATATGCAAATTTCATTCTTGCAGCAATTTTCCAATTCTACCCATTCTTGTAACCAACTACTAAGTTGGAAGGCTAAGCTGGCAAGTAGTTAGTGCAAGAATCAATAGTTAGTTAGTCAGTTACGGATACGGAAGAATAAGAAGAAGGAAAGTGTGTGTAATTGTAATCAGAGTTTCCATTGTATCATTTTCTGAGTTTTTCTTTACAAATTCTTCTCTTACATTTATGGAAAATGCTCAAGCAGCAACATTCATCATGCCAAGGAAGTGTTACAAGTGCGATAAAGGAGTTTAAAAAAGAGAAAATTTTTCAAAACCACAACAATGATAAACATACGGCATAGTACATTCATATGTACATAATAGTTTACATTCACATGTTAGAATAGACAAGAAGAGATCAACTTGTATTTGACAACAATAGTTAGAGGTAAGTGTATTTGGATTTTCATTGTATAGTACATTCACATGTATATAATTATTCACATGATGTGACTCTTGAATTGCATTTCTATTTTTCTCCTATTGCTGATTGTTTGTCTGTTACAGGGAACCTACTGAGCAGGATACTAAGCATGCAATGGAAACTAAGGCATTTTTTGATTTTATAGATCTTGGTATGCTAAAGAAAATAATGAAGTCAAGCAGACACATTTCTGAATATGGCAGCGAAGAGTATAACGGAATTAAAAGGGTGAGACTTGAGATTGCTCTAATGTTCGGATATCTAACGATTTATGTTGAAGAAGAGGTAAAAGCTTTCTTACCTTTAGACATGTAAAACTGTGTTTAGCCTTATGTTCTCTATCTCTCACACCCACACACATATGCACAAGCACACATACGCATGGGCACGTTATAATGTGATTATTGTAGATCAACAATGTCCCCACCAGAATCTGGTGGTTTGAGTATTTTGACTTCGTGATCAAGATCTCAAAACAGGGGAATTCTTTTGTACAAAAAATATTGATTTGGCATATTGAATTTGCTCGACCTTTTGAACTAGTGGCTCTGGAATTTTTTTTAACTTGTGAATTTTACATGTGATAGAATAATCAGGCAGGGGCTACGGAAGCAGCAATAGAAATAGTAACTCTTTTAGTAGCATTTTTGGAAGATTTATATGTGCTGTGTGAAAGAGATATAGATGTAGGGGCTGTTCAGTGAAACTCTATAATCCTTTATTGCATTTTAGGTGGAAGCTGTTTGGTTATTAAAAAATTGAGCTTCATGTTTATTTATGTTTATTGACTACTTTTTTTTATTGTTTGATTCTATTGTTACTGAATGCAAGCACCTGTCAAGATTAGTTGTTTGTATACTAAGTCATCTTTTGGACATCATAGATAAAATTGAATATTTTCATTAGCCCTCTTATTTTCATAGGACAAACATTTTGGTTTGATGCATTCTACTAAGGCCTCCAGAGGCCAAAGAGATCATGACTTTTGACCCTTTATTGGTGTGTAAATTATGCCCCTGAGCCATCAAACTTCAACATACTTAGAATTATGGAATAGTAGGATATAGACACTGTGAGACCCCGGTAAGTCCTTAAGTTTGATAGTAGGTGAGGTGACTTAATTGCGCGGTAAAATTGGGTTTTAAGGCTAGTGAGAAAACCCTAATTTGGATTATTTATGAAACCCTAGTTTTGTATTAATCATAAGTTCGAGTTGTAGTTAAAGTTAGTTATTCTAGTATGTGTTTTAGAGCAGGTAAGTATAGGATTTGAATTGTTTTATAAAGGATAAGTAGGTTTTACAAGGTTAGAAAACCCTAAACTAGCAAAACCTCTAGTATTATAATCCATTAGAAACCCTAAGTTAGGTTTAAAACCCTAATTTTGCCTACGACAAAAATATTGTTGTTTAGTTGCTTTTATGTGGGTTAAGATATGACTAAGTATAGGTAATTACTATAGGAGGATGATTAGTGAAGGAACTAAGTACAATTATGTATTTTGGATTAGATTAAGTTAATGATCTATGGACTAATTTGAAAAGAAATAAATGTTTATGGGCAAGAGTCAATCACATGCAAAGTTGGAGTGTAAGGGCTAAAGAGAAAAATTGAAGCTTTTATGTGATCAGTTGTTAGGGAAAATATCTTCTTACGCTTTGACTAAGTTTATATCATAAGAGTTGTTAGATAATCATAAGAAATAAACAAACCAAAAACTAAGAGAGAAAGAGAGAGAAAAAGCCGAAAGGGAGAGAAGGAAAGGGAGAGAAAAGGTTTTGTTTCTTGCATTTGTTTTCCATTAATCTTGAGTTTGGATCTTGGAGGAATAACTTGGAGCTTGAGTTTTGGAAGATTAACCTAAGAAACTTGTAACTAGAAGGTAAGAATCTTACTTGAAAACTTTGTAAAGTTAGGGTTGATCTTTGATGGATTAAAATGATGTTTCATGGAGTTGTTTTAATGTATTGTTGCTTATGAGATGCTTGTGAAGGAATTTTATGGTTTATTTTGGTGGATTGTGGAAGTATGAGATTTGGCCATCGTGATGGATAATTATGGTTTCATGCTTAAATGTTAATTAGTAGGTTGTTCTTGTTGATTTAGCTTGCATACGGTGTGTTGGATGGTTGGTTTTATTTGATGGGTTGGTTGTTGACAAAATCTGATTTAGACCATGAAACCCTAATCTCCATTAAGTTAGTTTAGCTTGGCTAGAATTTAGTTGGTTAGGGTTTGGTTAATAGGTTGTTAGATTAAGTTCATTGGTGCAAATAAAGTGAGGTTAGGAATTATGGTTAGTGTTTGGTAATTTTATGATGACTTAGAGGGAAAGTTTCAGACCATTTGTAGGTCATTTAGAAATTAGTATATGTGTGCAATTGGTTAGGAAGCTTGCATGAGAACTATAACAACGGACCATGCGTTTGCGACGTGTAAAAACGGTTAAACTGGAAAACAAGGCAGCCCAGAATCTGAATTTTGGCTATGTTTTTCTTTGTGCTACGTACTGATTTAAGATTTTCCCAAAACATGAAAGTTGTAGCTTCTTAAATGCTTGTTGTGTCTGCAAAATTTCAGGACAAACGGATCTGTGTAACCTGAGTTATGGCCAAAACTCTCACTTCTGTTCTAAACTCTGACGTGTGCTATGTTTCTTGATTTTGCTTCTGACCGTACTCAATTCATATTGATAACAAAGGAACTGGGTATTGAGGTCTTCATAAGACTTGTAGATCTTTGTTTCAGCTTCAAAACGGTATAAAGTATATCCAAATCTGAGTTCCGTAACTCTAGTTATACCCAAAACAAAATCGAGTGTCAGAACTGCCTTTGAAGTTGGACAGTTCTGACAGGAAGTTTGGACCCATTTTTCCTTATGCTCTGTACTGATTCAACTTTTGGTCAAAACACAAAATTTATAGCCTTATAAATGAGCTTTCCAACACCTCTAGAATTTCTCGATTTCGATCTCTGAGTCATGAGTTATAGTCGTTCAAACAGGGCCTGCTTGGTAACCTGAAGTGAAACGGCTGGGATTGTCTTGTGCATATTTGTCCTAGTTCTATTGAGATCTGGCTTGAGGTATCTTCAGGAAAGTTGTAGCCTTTCTTCTTAGCTTAACAACGGTACCTTATGCACTTCAATCTGATAATCGTAGCCTGAAAATTGATCAAAATAGTTCTAGGTGCCAAATCTGCTCTTTTCCGTTTGCCGGCCATTTCCATTTTCGTCTGCCATTTCCGCGCATGCATGTGCCAATTTTGCCGTTTTGCTTGATTTATGCATTCTAGTAGCCGTTTATGGAATAATATAGTACAATCTTCGATTTCAAACGGTGGTGAGTTAGACGGAGCCGGTGGGGCCTACTAGCTATCACACGCGAAGTGATTTTCGCCCTTGTGCTATCTTTGTGTTTTGTGTAAGTAATCAGGCCTTTTTGTGTATAACTTGCTTATGTGTTTTGATGTGAATGAGAGGGTACTTAGGCGAGAGTGTACTTGATCACACTCGATCTAAACCCTAATTTGCACTTGTGTTTATCTATGAGATGTATATATATGAATTATTTGGATGTTGAACCCCTTGAACTTGTAGTTCGGGGTGATGTTTGTAGGGCCCAATCTCAAGACCTAAATGGACTATTCGAGTCGGCCGGGGTTTGGTCGAAACCAGTCCAACTTAGTCTTGAGGTCACCAAGTTTGTGAACTAAGTTTGTGAACCAAGTTTCTGAACTGAGCTTGTGAATCAAGTTCAATTTCGTTTCGTTTGCTCGAGCTATTTTGTGAGGTGACTGGCCAGTGAGGGTGATAAGGTGTTAGGTGGGAGTACAAGTGGAGTTCTACGGACCATTATTTGTGGTTGACGGAGTGTCGACAGGAGGTTACACGTGGCACATGATTTGGCTTTGGAGCCAACTTGTATCCTTAATTTGTGTTGTTACTTTTATACTTACGATTTGATAGCTTTGTGACGAAATTATTTGTTTTAATGTGAAATTTACGCTTTTATTCCTGTTTACTTAATAAGCATATAGTTTACCCTTTTTCCTTTGTTTTCCTTAATAGGGGACGACGCAAGGAACCCTTTTGGCACTATCACTAGTATAGAGAGTTTTCGATTACCATAGTTGGGCAATTAAAATGTTTCTTATTGTTTTGGTGACTTGTATAAGAACCCTCCTTAGGGTCTACTTTTTATTTTTGGTTGTTATCATAGAGTGATGTAGTAGTTTGAATATCTACTTTTTGTGGATGTAAATAGAATTTTTTTTTTGGTTTATATCTATAGATAGTGAATAGTACTCTTTTGGCTTATTTAACTTTTATTGTTTTGCGTTTTCGAGTCCTGGCGCGAGTTAGGCAAGCGTCCCGCCGATACCCTCGAGTTCGCCCTTAGGAAAAGTGGGAGCGCCACAAACACGCACAATATTGGAATGCTTTAGTATTGCTATTATAGGTTGATCACTGGTATTTTGCACGATATTATGTTATTTGTAACTGGAAATACCATTTGCATAGTTCTATCTACATTTGATTTAAGAAATGTGGTCATGTTTCTAAATTTATATTGATGGATTAAAGAAACTTTTGTAACTTGATTTGTTGTTAGTAAAAATCTACATCTGTTATTGCATACTGATTCTGTGGATCAAATCTCCTTCAATATGCTGATTCCTTCATTTTGAAACTACAGATGGACATTGGCTCATTAACTGGATGCAATTTCTATTCAAAACCCTAGGTAATAAAAAATATGTAAAAAGTAAATTGCAATGCAACAATAAAAAAAACAACAAAAAAGTGAGCTTACCCTTTTTTCACTTTAGTCTCTTCCTGCTACCCCAATTCATTTACTTCTTGATTCTTTCCCTTCTGTTACAGGGATGGAAGAAAGAAGTTTTTTGATAATATTTCTCGATACCGATGTTTATTCAACGATAATTCCTCAATGTCTTTCTAGTCTTTTTATGGGGTCTATTATTTCTTCATCTGCTTATGATACTAGTTACTTGAATATCTTTATCTGAATATTGTGTTTTATCTATCTTGCTTACTCCTCCAACAATGTAACCCTTGAAAGAGGGGCTTATGGGAGGGAGAGGGAGGAGTAGGAGGAGGTTATGCAGCTATGAAGGTAGTTTATGCAATTTCCAGTTTCAAGAGCAATACAAGTTCATATATTCTGCAGTTATTTTTATAAGTGTTCCACAGTGTGAAAATTGACGCTGTTCGTCAGGCATTTGATTTTATGGTGATTTCTATGTAGATATTCTATTGTGCAAGTTTCAGTAGCTGCCAGATCATGGTTAAGGCCTTATAATTGGGATGACTTTTTGGAAAATTTTAGAACTGCCACATTTCTTTACTTAGAAGTATTTTCACCTTTCAAGAAGTCAGAGGGGATGACTCTTCAAAGTAAGATGCTCCTCAGTACTGCAAATCCATAAGTAAGAGTTTAATGTTTGGACAGGAAGAAAACGGCATGAGCAAGCTCTCTTTGGAAAATGTGTCGTGTAATGAACCAGTGTATTTTGAATAGATTTTACTTAATGACTTATTATGGCAAATAAAGAATTACCGAAGTTTCTTAGAAATTCATATTGTCCATCTCTTACAAATTTTTACACCTTCAAGAAGTTGGTAGGGAAAACTCTTCCAAGTAAGATTCGCCTCAACATTGCAAATTCTTGAAGGGTAGGAGA